AAGGGACCCCGTGACACCGGGGGCAGCTGCCTGCTGCTGCTGGAGCAGCGTGGGAACCGGGGACGGGGACTGCGGAGCGAAACGGGCTGGATCCACACTCAGAGAGGGTAACGAAAAAATTGTGTAGGGAGTAAACAATACACAAAGCCGTATCTTCGTACAAGCACCGTGACCCTTTCAGGATTTTCCCCAGGAAATCCTGAAATGCAATATTTAGGGAGTCACCGAGCCCATCCCCAGGGATGGTGGAGATGCACAACGGCCGAGGTTGGAAGCGGTGCTGGTGGCTGGAGTTCCAGCATCTACTGGAACCGAGAAAGCACAGATGAAAAACATGGGGCTTTGGACATGATGTCAGCTTTTCTCACTAAACCAACACGGCAATCAAATAGGTTGCGCTAGAAAAGCTTGCCTTTTTTTTTTTTTTTTTAATTCAAACGTCAACCTGTCATCAGGGCGTCAAAATTAAACAAGCCAGTTACTGTCTGGCTGCGGGTACGCCCCGAGACAGTCACGCTCTTGGCAGGAGCGGGATGCTGCTGGCCTCTGCCCGACGGCGCAGCCAGCGCTGACGGCACGAGGTTACCGTATCACCAAACGCTTTGCAAACCGAGGGTTTGCTTTAATCACTCCTTTCAGCTGCAGGAACATCCCAACCATGATAGCCTCCAGGGCATAAACAAGTAGTGCTTAATAATACTGCTTAGCACTTCAGTGCTGCTTTTACTTCTCCCAAGCACCTCTAATCGAGTATTCTCTGCAAACGAGCACCTTTTCCAAAGGTTTTCTATTCGCATTTTGTTTGTTGGCTGCATAAGCTAGAGAATCAGGTGGTAACTTTGGTTACACGGTGGGTCAAGCAGCCTGGTAACCCCTGCCGTTGGGTTTCACTGGAGCAGAAGGATCTACAACATCTCCCATGAGATCCACATACTGAGGAAGGAAAAAAAAATGGAAGCATTCCATGGGGAGAAAAAAAAAAAGTAGGATTTGATGAAGCACTGGACTGTGATCCCCCAAATCTTCCTTGGTTCAACAGAAGAGGTAAGTGAGGGTGGCAAGAGGAGCGATGGGTGTTGGCCATTACCTTGCCCAGCACCCTCCCAGCTGAAATGGTGAACCAAGTAGTAGCTCACACCAACAGCCCAGACTAGCGAGGCCAGTTAGCAAAGAGTAATGGTACCAGTCAGTCGGATGATGCCAACTCTTGACTGTGAAGTAAAGGTTGGGTCTTGGTTCAACAGACAGGTCGGATCTCCGTTCTCAATACACGACAAGAAACAAAACCCTCAAAGGAAGGATACTGGTGGGGTGGGCTGCTCACTACATACGTCTGACGTCAATTTGAGCTATCGGCTTCAATTGGGTAGAAGTTGATAGCCACTGCTGTGGTTGTTACTAAACCCGCACCCTTCATCTACAACCGCAGACCGCGAGGAACACAGCAGCAGTAACATCAGCTATCAAAGAAACCACCTTTATCTCCTCACCTAACTCTGCTGACTTCCAAAGGTCCTACCGGATTTAGTTACCCAGGCCTCTGATTTTATTTTTTTTAATTTGGAATAACTTTATGTACTTAAATTATTTTCAGCACTTTAAAGATTGTATCCCAAGTTCCTTCAGGATTGGTGCTTCGTTTGGGGAAAAAAAAAAAAAACAACAAACCACCAAACTAAACAAAACAAAACCAAAACAACCCAAAAAAAACCCAAAACCAAACAATCAAAGAAATGGTAGATTAGAGTTGACATCTCATCCTTCCACTCACTGTTTTCCAAAGATATTCCCTATCTTTCAAATGGGAAATTCCACTGGAACACGCGGAATTCTTCCAGCAAGCGGATACTTTTGAAGACACCTCCTCAATGAACTTAAATACATGCCTTTTAACAAAGGCAAAAATGCTGAAAATATAAAGGAGGTTTTCTTTCTCTTAATCAAATTAATAGAGCCAAATCAAAAAAAAATTGCAACCCCTATAAATGCAGACTAAGCTCCAAATTTTCTTCAAATACTTGAAAAGCAAAATAACTTTCACAAGCATATCAACATAAAGGGGAACACACTCCCATCCAACAAATACAAGGAGCTAGTTTAAAAAAATAATTAGAAAAAAAATACAAGTTACATTTTCTGCCACAGGCTCCGTTCTTCAGGAAAAGACTGCGGAGCATTTAAGCGAACTGTCTGGGTTAATGACAGCTGATGTCCCGTATCCCATAGCAGTAGTCATGACCTTCAGGCCTCCCGTGACTGACGGGCTGACCCCAATCACTCCAGGGTGCAAGGTAAATGACAACCAAAGAAGAAAAAGAAAAAAGAAGAGAAAGAAAACTTGCTGCCGGCTTTGTAGCCAAGCTTCCTAATAAAACCTAATTCAAGCTGTCAGGGTGAAATGAAGAAAGTGTCAACAGGGGTTTTCAGAGAAATATTCCAAATGTTTGGCTAGAAAAGCCAAGAGCTGGTTTCCCTTCCCCCAGCCCAACACCGCTCCTCAAAAAGGGCTGGAAAATCCAATGTCGAAAGGAATTTTAATAACATGTCCGGGGGGACCCCTGAGGAGGGACCCAAGGGGACACTTTTCTTCCCTTCCCTGACAAACCCAATCATCTCCGTAATGGTGAAGAGCACAAAACTCGCGAGGGAAGTGCCAACGGAGGGGTTAGGTGAAACCAGCATCCGTGTGAAATCGGACCATTCTGTCGGCTTTAGAAACCGAGATGTTTAATGGTGACCCACAGGTTAAGAGCCTTGGGAGCCACCAAAGAGAACAACCTGCCACCAGTGAAAGGTTGAGATTAAATGCAGGGTGAGAAATGTCCTGTGCTTCCACATCAACCAACGAGTTGCCACGTCCTCTAGCAGAAAATGGAGAGAAAGTGACTCTCCAAATTACTATCCCTCTCACAAAGGAAGAGAAATTAAAACCCTGAAGAGCCTCCTGTAGGCACTGAAACATCTGGCGAGTCCCCAAAACACTGCTCTAGCTTCACATCAGCACCGGGGCAACGTCCACTGTCAGCCCATGGCCAGGACACAAAGGTGCCAAGGGAGGTGAACCCCCTCCACAGTCCAACCTCTCGCTAGTACGGTGCTGCAAACAGAAGGGAAGAAGGATCCCTCCTTCCAGTAAAAATCTCATTATTCATTTATATACCTCTACCAAGTCAAAGACATTACCGGGTGCAAAAAGAAAGCACCAACGTGCAGTTTCTGGCTAGTATAGTCCTCTTCCAATCTCACACACACGGACAAAATCAGGATCAAGGCACTTTGGGATGGAGATGGGAGGGTAAACACATGGAACATTTTGGAGGCTTAAAAAAAAAAATCTGATTATTTGTACATAAACTCCCATGGGAAACAAGAAAAACAAAACCCTTAAACCAGCAGCCGAAACTCATTAACACACAGGGCAAGTCAAAACTTCAAGAGTCTTCCGGCCAACGTGTTCCTTGAGGGACAGTGCGGGGAGGCGGCGGGCCAGCTGTAGATGTTATACCAGGCACCGACCCAGTGACAAGTGGACATCACTATCTTACTCGAGACAACCAGACTCATCTATTTAGTAGGACTGCCTCAGAAACAGCTCAGAGTCAAGAGTCCCCCTGCTTTTTATACAGCTAGCTTGGGTCTGGGCTATCTTTCCCTACATGAGGCAGCTATTTTTGAAGACTTGGCCAGCCCTTTGTAGATGAAGGAAGCCACTGCTCCAAGGAGACCATCAGCCACCTCCAGCCCGGACAGGGTATATCCAAGCAGTTGAGCAGCACGAAGGCTTGAGGAAGAGAATTCGTATTTTAAACCTGTTGAGATCTTCCAGTGCAGATAAAACCTCCGTATTACAACCATTAGCACAGTCATCCCCTACCTCAGATGAAGGTCTTCTGAAAACTTCAGACAGGCGTAGATGAATTCCTTAATCTGATTGTAAACTTTAGGCACAAACTCAGAAAAGGGGAACTTCTTTGGAAACGGTTGCTGTAAAATACAGGAGAGAATTCAAGTCAAAGAGCAGATACTTAACAGGGGTGACGACTGCTTTCCAGCAACATGTTCCAAGCAGTCAAATTAATTCTAGTATTTAGCTAAGTCCAGCAATGAAACAACAAGCCAGCATTTACTGTATCTTATATAAACATTTCAGCCAAGTGAAAGACCAGATAATCACTTACAAATGGCACACGGGTGCATAAGGGATTTGGAGGTTGAAACAGGCTGGAAGGAAATTTGCAGCGAGGAGGGAGCAGGCAGCGCAAGAGGATCCTCATTCCCTTTCCCAACTCCCCAACTGCTATGAAAAAACCTCATTGGAGAACTCCCCGACTTTCATCTCCCACCACGCACAAGGTGTTTTGCTTGGTCACCTCCCACAGTTGCTGCCCAAGGTGAGCACTTGCTTACAACACCAAAAGCCAAGAGGAAACAGATGTCCTACACCAAATTTTTCCAAGCACCTTTTACCCACAGCACACACATGGCTGGGAGGTGCAGAGCATAATAGTAAGAAACTGGGCCCCGTGATATAGTTTTGGGGGAAGGACACAGACTTTCTGAAATCTAAACACTTGATTTGGATCGAAAACTCTCCCAGTCCTAATTAAGTTCACCAGGCTCAGAGCTCGCTGGCTGCCAGATGTGCAGCAGAAGGCCAAGCACGCTTTTAAGGGACACGGGCTAGGTCAAATGGAGCTACACTTAGGTTCTGCAAGCACACACTTCTACAAAAGCCAAGACATACCACTTTGTTGGGCTTTTTTTTTTTTAAATACGAGATTAAAACAAATAAAAGTCAATAACACTGTTCATAAAATGGGAATAAAATCCCGACAGAAGCAGATATTTCTAGTCTCTTGTCTACTGCAGCACTGTTCAGCTGCCATGGTACACTGTGATGTGAAAACAAAATCTACGCACTTTCCTCATCCACACCAGGAAAAAGGCATCACATGGAAAGTGTATTTGTTCTTTTCCCTCGTTTTGTTTTTTATTGTTTATTTGGTTTGGGGTTTCAGGTTTGGGTTGGTTTGGGGTTTTTTTGATGCTTTCGTTTGCAGTTCTCAGTGCCACTAACAAAGGTATGGGGTTCTCCTGCACCAGCAGACAGGCCACGCCACTTCCCCCATTTCCAAATTACCTTTTCAAGTTCTGCATCCTGGAATGGGAACTGTCCAACTATTTTCTTATAAACTTCTTCATTTGTCACTGGGATGGGACTGTAGTTATCTGAATCAAGTATATTTCTAAGAAAAGAAAGGAAAAGTTAGAAAGACAGCTCTGTGACGACAGACCAACCACAACTTTGCAGATTTACTGCTCGGTCGGGAAGCTCTTAAGAAGTAGGTGCCAGTCTAAGATGTCATCCCATGGGCCTAAATTTCTCCCCATGTCTGTGACTGTTGAGATCATCTTTGCTGCAGCCGGACTCAAATGCTCTCTCCCAGCTCCCTGCCTTCAGCCTGCATAAAGCCACAACCAGAGCTTAACGGTGATTTTAGTCCAAACTGGAGCTTCAGCAGCAGCCCCTGGTATAGCCCAGGTGGGCTTCAGTCCTGTCTGAGTCGAGGAAGACGGATGCTGAGCTCCCGGGGCACTGACAATCCTCTGACACCTCTTCCCAATACCCCATGCTCTCAGACACCTCAAAACTCCTGGGATGTCCTGGAGGACCATTGCAGGATGAGTGGGTGGCTCCAGAGGACAGCACGGGACCCTGGATATTATAACATGCCCTACCCCGTGGGAAACTGCTCAGCTCACGGACGTGCCGACAGCAGCAGCACAGGGATAAGCCACCGATGTCCCAAGCCACGTACGGCTCACTGCTGGAGCGAGGGCACAGTAACGCTGCTGCAAGACCGAATTTTGGCATCCTTCCCTCTATTGACTATCAGTGTCCACAATGAAATCATAATCTTATCCCTCTGGAATGTAAAACCTCTGGTCTACACCAATTTATTGCACAGATCTCACCACACACAGCATCCTCACACCTGTGTTTAAATTGGCTCTCCCTGGTCCAAGGAGAGCCCAGGTGGAAGCTTACTGTTGCCCAAAATTTAAACATGAGTTTGGTACTGATCTCTCAAAAGATGTAATTTATGGGCCAAAACTACTCCGTAAAGTACATCTCCTGAGTTTGTTTAAAGAGCTTCTTACCTGAAAACTCCTGACCATTTCTTCAGCAGGGTTTCACTATATTGGTCTTGGATCTCCAACAGCATGTCAAAGAGCTGGTTTACTGGGAAGCCGTATCCCTGCAGCAGGGTGGGGGAAGAGAGCAACTTCAGACAAGAAAAAGTCACCAACAGGCAGCTGAAGATTATTTTCTCTATTTAATAGGGAGCACGTGGCCAAATTCTCCCCTACTACCACCACAGAGGTGAACGGTGCTGATGGAGGGATATAGGCGGTGATTTACCAAGGCGGTAGGACCACGGGCTATTAAAGGCTGGGCTGAGTGCAGGCAGGAGGCACACGGGCTTGGTAAGGTGGCCAAGGCTTGGTCCTTGCCCACGGGCTGGCCGTCCCACGCGCAAAGCAAACCAAGCTGTCCATCGGGCAACAACAATTCATTCACCGCAATGCCAAAAAAGAAGCCAGGTCACCACAACAAGCCCACATCAGCCATTTGACCCTGCTGACGGACACCATCTGCGAGCAGCACAACTGTCGAGCGAGATAAAGAGCGGTCGCCCACAGCCGCGTACCTGGAGTGTATCTGCAAAGAGGACAATGAGGTTCTTCAAGTCTAACACAAGGCTCGGGTCTGAGCAGTAGGACTGCAAAGAAGGGGAGAAATTAAAACATGTTTTTAACTGCAGCACGCATGAAAAATTTTGCCCTCAGCCCCACTGCATTATCACTTGAGTGATAATAAATACATAGGCACGCCGTACAGTCTTACGATCAGTAGCTTTTATCCTACAGCCCGTGCCCTAACGCTGTCCAGGGCAAGGGAAGGCACACTGATAAGGGTATCTCTCCTGGTAATATACTCCTCTTGAGGCTCTCCATGATGAATAAGGATTTGGGTTGCTCTAGAGATACCTGAAGTGTCTCTAAGATTGCCCAGGAGCTGCTGGGGAAGCGAGAGGAGATGAAGCAAATCAGCGCGCTGTCATACCAAGATGACAGCAGTGCCTCTCATTTAATATTTAGTGTGTTGTGTCTGATGGTAATGAAGCATCGCAGCGAGGCAGCCCCGAGCCCCATGCGAAGGCTGCATTGCTAAGTGGTTCAGGCTGAGAACAAACACGTTGCATGCCTATATTTCAGCAACATTAACAGCCAGAGCTACAACACGAGTATTTATTGCGGGTCAGGACACTGGTCAAAACCCTAAAGACACAACTCAGAGTAGTGACAGGGCTGATTGTCCCCCCAGAGCCACCCCATGTTACCCACAGACTTCGTGAGCTCTCTGGACCCAGCAGACAATCTCCCTATTCTGAAATATGTAAAGTTTCAGACAGAGTCTTACCAAATATAGAATCAGTGATCATAAACTGGAAAGCGAAACAGATTTAAAGCTCACTGGAAACTCAAGGAGGAATAACTCCATTAATCAATGTGAAAGACTGGAAGAGACACATTTTCCATTTCACTGTCCAAAAAAGAAAGTCAGAAAGAAAGATAATGCCCTAAAGCTATCAGAAGTGATAAAAGATGTCCCTGTTTGCAGCAAGGAAGAAAATCCAGGGATAAGTTTGGTTGAACGGGAAGAACTGGAACAGGCTCACCACCGTGGGAGCCCTCCCTCACGTCTCAAGGGCAATATGGGATGGAGGGCACTGCTCTAGATGGGAGCTGTAGGCTGCGCAGTACTTAGAGACAACAGCGTCGACCACAATATTAGCGTTGAGAAATCATGTAACATGTCACGATTACTGAAAAAAACCCTCTCCTGGCAGCCACTTCACGCATTAAGTTTGGCATCAGTTAAAACAACTTGTCACGGCAACAAAGCTGGTAAAATTGAAAAATGCTGTGTTTGTACCTGGCTTATTCTCACAGCTTTCACTCAGCAGAAAACCCCACTTAAAAAGAAAACAAACACAGGTTTACAACCTAGCAGGGTGTACACCTCGGTGTTTATCCCCTTTCGTAACCCAGAAGCTTAAGTGGAAGGAGGCAGCTTTCCAGTCAACACAACTGCTGTGCCGGCCGGAGCCAGAGTGCCCCGGGAAGGCTCTGCGGTCCCTCATCCCAAGGAGCTCCAGGTCCATCACCTGGATTATCCCCACCTACACAGGGAAAGCTGAGCAGCTCTTCAGCACCACTGCCCGTGGGCGACCACGCGAAGCTAAAGTCATGGGCACGTAAATGCAGAACTCGGTGTGGTTTGGAGCAAGCAGCGTTATTGTGTCTCCAGGCTGAAATTTGAGGGTTTTCTCAGCAAAGAGCAATAACATCGTTCTCACTTGGGTACCACCGCGCGCATGTTACATCACGTTAGATGCTGGCCTGCACTGACACGACCCTGCAGCATCGTTCTGCTCTCGGACGGCACTGCCATCCCCGAGCCGCAGTGGGATCTCAGAGATTTAATGCTTTGTTTTTCCTGGAGAAAATGGCCCAACAACTTGAAAATGGACTTGTGGAAAGTCATTAATATGTTTTCTCTTATGGGTAAATGCAATTTTTTCATCCCGTTAATCAACAGGGTTTTAAAAAAACTCCCAGCTGAATCAGTACAACATTATATCAGGTGAAGCAAAACTGGAAGAAAAGGGTACATTTTCTGCAATTGGTTTTGGTTTTTTTTGTTCAAGCAGAGAAATACCAAAGCGATAAGCAATTTTTCCAAACTTCTTTCAGTATTAAAGAATAAGAAGTCTATTTAGTGTCTTTTTATGCACAAATGATTTGCAGTTTGATAGCTGCCCATTCACTGCCGTGAACTTTAAGGGAATATCAAACAGGGTCATACTTCAGCGTGCTAAATAAACGCTTTTTTCCCCCCCAGTTTTCCCGGACAAACCCACTCCCTCTGCTGGTGTTCTTCAAAAGCAATCAGCAAAGTAACGGGAAAAATATCAAACCACTATTTTCTTCTTTCCAGTCATCCAAAATATTGAGAGTCTGGTACAGGGAAATGCAGTGCATCAAGAGGCGAAAAAAAGCTGGGGAAAGCTTTCGGGGAAATAGCAGTGTATCTTCGTGTTATTGTTTTAAACAAGGTCATTGGAAAAGAGGCAAAACAAAGACTACTACTGTAAAAGCCAACATTTTCAGCATGTCAAGTTATACTCAAGCAACAGTTGAGCGACCCGGGGCTTTTACTTACTGAATGTGTTCTTAGTGCTGCAATAGTTTTTGATAATGCCATCTCCCACAGCTCATCAATATAGGCTCTATTTACCAAGCCCTGCGTTGTATGCAAGATGTGATCTTCAACTACAAAAAACCTAACGGAGAGGAGAAAATGGCACCGTTATCAAAAGTTACCGGTTTTGAGACATCAAAAGAGATCTGCAAACACTGCATGCGAGGGCTAGGCGGCATTTGCACATCCATAAACCTCCAGAGCAAGCTCAGATTTGCAGTAATAGCTGTATCAAATACAGCCAACGCTAAACACTTCATTCACCTATTTTTAACATCGCTGTATTTTATACGATGCTTCAATGTATTATAGAAGTGAGCTAAAACACAGTTGCTCCTAGTAATGCCACTCTGTATACACAAAGGCAGAATTTCCCCTCTCTAAGTTCTCCAGCCGTTATTTCAACAAGAATCAGTGATTCAACTCTGCTCCAGCCAGCGGCAATCCCGTTACAATCAGTTAACTGCAGGGAAAAATACTTTCACTGCAGGAGAAAAATACTCTTTCGCACCCAGATACACCACAAGCTCAGACCATTTAAAGGCAATCAGTTCCTGAAGTATCCTTCAGATAACTCCAATCCCCAGTTATCAAACGTGCTGGCCAAAAAGAAATTGTGTTTTTCAGGGAGCGAACGTGGCATCGTGCATTTTAAATGACAACGCACAGAATCTCAGCTGTGTTTTCTCGGGGAAATTCAGCCCCGGAGCACGGAGCTGTGTGAGAAGGCGAGCAGCACACGTTGCATTTGCGACGGTAGCAATTAGATGTTGAAATTATTATTGTTAGCTGAAGAAATTTCAACATCAACAGCCTGTCTTTGCTAGATCAGCCATCGTAGGTTGGTTCCTCTTAGAGCTCGGCTGGTTTTGGAAGACTCTTGTCAAATTGGAGTGCAATAATAAGAAGCTCATAGGAATAGAGGCTCGAGAATCACCTCCTTTACCAGGAAAATAATCAAAGAATAATTATCAAATATTAAAGAATAATTAAAGCAGATGGTCTACTCATCTCATTAGTGGGGCACGTAGATGCACACAGTCCCACAGAGATTATTTATCCTCAAACTCCCAGAAATGCACTCACTGGTACAAGAGCTGGCAGGTTCCTCCCCGCTTCCACTACTGACACAGCAAAGTTCACGGGTGCTATAAAATACACTCTGAAACACTTAAAAAGCCCAAACCACCTTTTTTCCCCCTGTTTTGGCTCCCTTTAAAGGACTCTGAAAAACATCAACATGCCCTTCTCCCTCTTTCTTTTTAGGCTCCTCAACAGCACAGCGCACATATGTTTAGCGAGGACGTATATAAAAAGAATACCTACCCTACAATTTGATTAAAATACTTCCTGTAGCCATCTAAAGTTTCATGCTGCAACAAAGAAAAAGCGAGCAACGATTAAAACAAAGGTGGCTAAGAGCAATTGGAAATAAATTAGAGACCACCCACGGGCAACGGCACGCCCAGAGATAACCCTCCGCTCCTTCACTTGGCAAAGCAAGTTTGGGCGCTGCAAGTCGGGGACCGTCGTACCATGTTTGAAGGAGGCTGCAGGACCAATCTAGCTTGTTTTCTTCTTTGCTTCCTGTAGTAGTTCTCAAAGGTTTCTCGGGCACCCTGGAAAACAGAAATGATTAATTCAAGTAATTATGACAGTTTGCATCAACCCTTAGCTTGCAATATACTGCATTTACTGTTGACTTGCAATATACCGTGTTTAAGATGCAAATCTCATATTCCTCCAGCCTATCTGTACAACACTTTCCTGCAAAATGCAATCCAAATATCGGAAGATCACGAGTTTTACTCAAAACATCGAGTCAAAAACCCAATCGTTCACATATAAGAGTACCTGATGAATTCTTCGGTATCCGTTTTCCAGTACCCCTGTGCAGATGTGGCATACAGAGGTGTGCAAGCAGCTTCTTTACCGGACCATAATAACATGGACAAACATCAGATTTACTTCAATGTGGGGGCAGTGAAACAACCAATTTCTAGTGTTAGCAAAAAGAGGGGACAAACAATGCCAGAAATTCTTCCACTGATTCATGGGTGCAGAGCGATGCAAAGCCACAAACATCAGGGAATTTCAGAAAAACGTGCTTGTGTGGGTTATAGCAATTTATGAGACCGGTCTATATAGTCGGGAAAAATAAAATAGGGGTTTTGAGCTCATTTTCTCCCAACTTTACTGCAGGTCTGAGCCTCCAGAGGAAAGTTGGGTAGTCCCAAAAGCCGAGTACCCAAGCTCCCCTCCACGGGCATCGCCCACCCACGCTGGGTGCTGCGGCGGGGACCTGAACCGTTCCTCCGGGGCCTTCGTCCGTAGGTGGCTTGTTTTGCCAAGCCAGGCTATATCTGAGCATCCCCACTCAGGCAACAAATCCATGAGGATCCTCAAATGCCATCGACCTGCTGAAGCGTTCAGACATCCGCCTACCGTCCTGGTCCCCTAGGCTATGTAAAACCTTGCCGTTTTATCCCTGCCTGTTCCTCCCTCCTCCACGCCCACGTTGTTTTATGTCTGAAATTGGATTAGAAACACTTCAGAGAAGGGACAAGGTCTTGCTTTGAACTGTTCCGAGCCAAAAAAAAAAAACAAACCACCACCAAAACCCAACTCATTTGGAATTCACAAAACAAACAGCACACAACAATAAATATCACCTGAGCCAGGCACCAGACCTCAGCTTTCTCTACTACAAAACATAAATTAATTAAAAGAAAAACCTGATGCTAATTTAATGATTCTCCAGCTACTATGGCATTACACAACCAGGCTGCCTTAGGACGCCCTCAACTAAAGAGGTCTTATGAAATGTCTGCAATGAACCCTTGAGGAGCTGTAGCCTGACTTGCTCCTTCCCTTCTACAAGCTCGATTCTTAAGCAAAAATTCAGCTGCTGATGAGCAGCTCTCCCACTCAGTACCGCCCTTCCCAACAGTGCCAAAATTCATCAAAAAAGCCTTCTTGTGACCATGCACATGCATTGCAAAGATTATGCAGATTTATATCATGGTTTTGCCTCTGAATTATACTTTTTAGCCTAGCTGAATATCAGGGGTGCACAGGATGAGCAGCTCCCGACCCATGCTGGGCCCATCCATCCAACCATCAATGGTGCCAACACCGTAGCAAGGGATAAATTTGGATGGGGTACAAATCCGAGCCTCTCTCCTGCAATCAAGTTAAGCATCAGTTTGAACCTACAAGTAACGTGACATTTTAAGAAAGCTTTTCGGAAACTATCTCGGAACCAGCATTTCCATGTCATATGGCTTCTCAAAAGCTGTTTCCCCCTGGAAAGGGAAGAATCATGAGCCAAAAATCAGTGATCTAAAGGTTAGACCCAGAACAGTGAGGATTACTACAATTTTTATCAAGCTAAGCGCTAGCCCCCGTCAGAGAGCCTACAAGCAGGGAGTTCTGACCTCCCTTCGAGCTCCTCTCCCAGGCCTAGAAGCTGGTGCTTCTCAGGATGCTGGTGTTACCCATCCCCTCTCAATTTTGGCAGGGCCACAGGAGAACCAAGACAGAATGGGCTGTCCCACTCCCACTCCACCACTGATGGGACCAAACTTAAGATATTTATTAAATCCTGCCATGCCTCATCTCTCAAAACCTAGACAAGTGGCACAAAAACACTTGCTCATCTCCATCCTGACCATGAGAGCAAGTCATCTCTGGTAGCATCGCTGAGATATTTGAGTGAAGCTACTCACTAACCTAGCGCAACCTGCTCCTATCAATGAATTTGTGGTGCAAATTCAAAACTGAAGACATTTTTTCCTCATTTCTTTAGTAAATTAATGTACAGCATCATTGAAGACAGGAGCACGCAGAGGTTCAGCCACAACTGCCAGCACAGCCACCGTGGTGGTTGGTTCCTCACGCCAGCCATCGCATGTGGCTTTATGCAACATCATATAGAAGTCAGCGAGTAATTAATTCCCTGTTACTGAACACGCATAAGCTGCCATTTCCCCAAGCTACACAGGTAAAATTTTATGGTGACCTCGAGGACTTACTGGAAACTTGGAAAGCAGCTCATCAGGAGCAGGAGGTCAGTCTGAAACCCGTCAGCCCTTTCAAGACCAGATTTTGAAGATTTCTGTTAAGACTATGCCACAGCAATTCAGCTGAAATCACTTTCCCTCATCCCTCCAACTGAGCTCCAAGAAGAGATCCTCCTTGCTCACCCCACCCTCACCATGTATTGCTTCAGGAAAGAAAGGCCAAGAAGTCATCCCACATGTGGCTCCACTTCCAGCACAGCTCTGCCCGTCCTCCCATCACCCCGTGACAACACACACCTTATCCTGTAGCTGTTTACCTCATTCAAAAGCTTCTCCATTTCATAAAGTCACAGAATGGTTTGGTTGGAAGGGACCTTAAAGCCCATCTCGTTCCAACCCCCCAGCCATGGGCAGGGAAAACTCCCAC